CAACTCGTGACATCTAATAGCGCTAGACAGGAACTTACCCCATCCTCATGAGGCCAACTTCTTGGTATCAAGCTTGGAAAAGCTGACTCCCCTACAATTTAGAAGCTAAATGATTTCGAGCGAACTCCTTAGTACTCTGGATAACTTCACTAGCAAGCAATTACGAAGGCACAGGAAAGCTGGTAGAGGTGACTTTACTGGTAAAATGCTGCAAGGGAAATGCTACAAAAAATGGGGAAACTGATAAGAAGAATAACAAATGACCTTTTCCACAGGCATCGACGCCCATGCATTTGATTTATTAATTTGAATAAATTAGATCGTAGAATTTCACAAGCGTCAGCTAGCCTTACCCGGCCCTGACAACCACATCCTAATCATCTACATTAGATACATGGTAGAAGTGATCAACCAGCAGGTAAATAGTAAACGATGTATTTTACTTCCACTGATGTTGATGTCGTCGCGGTCTGTTGGGCCACTGAAGTTGATGTCGTCGCGGTCTGTTGGGCGGCGTCCGAAAGGCGGAATACCTTGCTTGCCCGATAGCCTTGCTCTACCAATGGTGATCATTTGATGATTGATTTAGTGAGGAAGAAAACAACCAATGGTGGAAACGTTGCGGGTGGGCTCATATTGTTTCCCTTGACACCGTACGGTGTCAAGTGTAAAAATAGTAGTGACATACCAGTATGTGGTGAGCTTTCACAGTCACAGTACACAGTGACTTTCAGAACCAGCCAATACACAAGTAAGCTTTGATTCTCAAAAATGAAACCCTCAAAATCAAATAGATCTGCAACCGCAAATCAACCACAGCGCGATGGCCCTCGCTTGGCCAGCATACTATTGAATCTGGGATTCGATCGCCTAACCATTTGTGATAACGGTGCCAGTGGTCCAGTGACCCGCCTACGCTTCGAAAGAGCGCTTCAGCTGAAAATCGGTAGCAACTAGATTTCTTTCTGTAGCTGACGTGTGACGCGTTCAGACTTGGCGATGACGCGCGTCAACGCTCTACCACTCTCGTTGCAGTAGCGCTCCAATGCTGCAGACGGGAACGTACTTATAGACAGATATACGGGCACCCAGTATTTTATCACGCTTAATCACATTTTCCTATACTGCACCAAAACAGAGCGACCCGTCCCGATCGATACCCGTCCATAACTGCGCTCCCAACTGTGACACTGGAGCGCAACGGTTGCGCTATGACGCTCGTGGTAGCGCACGACGGGGGTAACCAAGGAAAACTTGTGGGGCGTGAACGATAGCAATGCTCAAAAGAGTCTACCTGTGCGTCTGTCGAGTTCTGAGACCCCTTGACCGTCCCCGTGGGGATGGGGCTTGATTAACTGCGGCTGGAGTCCATCTCAGATCTGGCCCATGAACAATGGACATGCTCGGTGACGTCACTCGCCTTTATACTAATTCCCTATTTTTCGTATTGATTTACATTCTTGCTTCGTACAACTGCTTTGTTTTGGCATCTTGAAAACCACCGAACAACCCAAGCCTTATCCCGCGGAACCACGAGCGCGTCGTCGTAATGTCGATCTCCTGACCCATTGGTTTCTACGATGGTCGGGCTTACCTATCCAGCAGTTATATCAATGCTACCCCCCACACCTTTTTTGTAAGTTCAAAAATGAAAATTTTTGGAGAATATCTATTAACAATTTATTTGAAACCAATAATCTCCATAAATTTTGTTTGCAACATTAAGCTTAAACATATTCGATAATGCTGAAGATGATATAAAACACAAACTATTTATCGCATAGAGATCAACACACCATCACATACAGTAATCACAAAGTATGTACACAACAATACCCAAATATGACAAAAAAAACTCCCTAAAAAAGGCCTAATGAACAATGTGAAGTACAAAGCACTATGAATTAAGGCACGAATCTATGAGAATCGCAGTAGGTAGCTACAGTTCTTTGCACATGTTCAGATAGCTCGCCTGAAATGAGTAGGTATACTAGTTCACAGGAACTAGCCAACTGCACATCACCTCGGCTATACTCTCGTTCACTGGGGACTCCGGGTCATTTCAGGGGACTGGGCTTGAGGCGGCACCAACCAGATTCCCTGAAACGCCAGGAGCCTGTTCTCCGCCTATTGTGGAAGCTTGTGAGCGACCACTGTGGTGGGGAAAAAATTATGAATGAAAACTATGTTGAAGAGTTGAACAAACAAGAAATATGAGGGGTCGAAAGGTGTAAAAATGGCAGGTGCCGCGCCAAACCCAGCCTGCTGAAACGCCCCAGCGTCCGCAGCGAACAACGCCTATAAAACGCTAAATTAAAGGCAGTGAGCAAGTTTGCTGGAGGCGGGCAGTTGTTGCCAGCATCACTGGTGGAAGGGTTGCGAGTGGGCGTTTGGTCGCATTCCATTCAGCACTTCCTTCAATGACGCTGGCGGCAACGTCCGGCCCCAGCGATCGTGCTCACTGCCTCTAAGGAAGAGCAGCGGCTTTTAGTTTGTCCGCTTACTTCTAAGCCTCTAATTCAGCTACAGCTGAACTTGCACAGCTCTCGCCCTGAACTTGGTCCTTCAAGGCAAAATCCACGCTGGTACTAAGGGCACGACCAGGCCTGCCACCAAATGTTACTCATAGTGACATGCCCCTCTCTGCAGTCCTACTGTGAGAAAGGATGAACACCCTATTAACGTCTGACTCAGCCGCTTCTGTAGGCGAAAATATGTAAAATAACGTTGCGAATGGAATTATTCCTACGTACCGTTGAACGACTGTTGGTGGTGGAGCAGTTTTGACAGGAGAGCTGTCGAGACTTCTGATGAGCGCTTGATTCTGTTCATTCTCCTCATTAGCTTCATTGTATTCTTCGGGTTCTAACACTGGAGCGCTTACTGCAGCCACGTAACGTGGAGCACTAAATTAATGTGTATCATCAACTGAATATTTAACTTTTGGCAATATCCACCCTTTACTGCCCTTCCGTTATCAGATGTGTCTTGTACCGAGTTTTTTTTTCTTCGGCCGCTGATCTGGTGGAAACTTTTTTCCCGGGGAGAAGTTTGACCTCCTAAGCCCGGATATCCACATTTAGCACAGTTCGCGCGAAAGACCCGCGATGGCTCTGTGCATTAGACTACGGGGTAACGGGAGACTATGTGATTCGCGAGTGTAGCTGCCGAGAACCCTCCTTAGGCCGACTTGGTTCTTGCACAGCGACTTGCTAAGGATGTTGGAGAAAACAAGGCGACAGCAAGCGCGAACTCCTTCTTTCTGTTGCTGGAATAGTAAGTCCTTCCCTTTGCCAGGGTCAGCCTACTCAGAATGGAAGATTGCATATGTAGAGAGGAAGGGTGCAGACAGAAGTAGATTGCGCTGCTACGAGTACCCCCACCCCTTGCCCCTCGCCTTTAGCTCCCTTGACACACACACACACACACACACACACACACACACACACACACACACACACACACACACACACACACACACACACACACACACACACACACACACACACACACACACACACTTACAACACACACACCTTCACACACACACACGTTAACACACACACAACTTACACACACACTACTTCACACACAGCCACTTACCACACACACACTTTCCCACACACTACACCACACTTACACACACACACACGCACACGCACACACACACTTACACCACACGTTACACACACACCACTTACAACACACACACTTACACACACAGCAACACGCACACACACACACACACACTTACACACAGCACCAGCTTACACCACACAAACTTACACATCACGCACACGGCCACACACAATCACACACACAACTACACGCTTACACCACACCTTAAAACAACCCACATACAACACACTTACACACCACCACGCCTTACACCACACACACACGCACACCGCCCACACACACACACACACTTACACACACACGCACACCGCACACACACACACACAAGTGATATCGTGCTGTGCTCAGGCGTTGAACAGCTGCCGGGTTTCAATTTCGAGATAACTCGGTGATTCAGGGTCACTGACGCGGGCACCAGGCGGTTTCGGACCGAGCGGATGTGATATTTCGGTATCAAAGTGCCTAACCCTGGGAAAATTTTTTTAGCCAATCTGCTCTCGAAGAAAATGTCGGTAAGAATGGTCCTCGTTCCGGAAAATTGGGGCAGCAAAGAGTTAACAATGACAACTTCTTCATGAAAGAATAAATGGGCAAAGAAAAGTAACCGACCGCCGGACAGGATACGGTGGAACCATTCTTTCTAGTATATCCTGGCTGACCAATGAGTTATCAATGTTTTGCCCGAGTGCATTACGCATTCGTTCGCGTGCAGGATTAAGAGCTAAATCTAAGCTAATGGGTTAGATTTTTCATACAATAAACTTCAAACGAAGAACCTGGTGGTGGAGGCCAATATGTAGTGACTTGTTCTCCGACATCAGCTACATGCGGCATCGAATTGCTTCTCTTCAGATTCTCATCGATACCGTTGAAGGCTTTCCATAGGGCCACGACGAGGTCCGTGCCAAATATCACCTTAAAATCAATTGATCAAGGATACAAAACATTGACTACTGGAAAATGAGCAGAGTATAGGCATGTCAGCTCAAAGGCAGTTGGCACGATAAATCCCCCAAGACGACTAGGATCAATACTCCTGGCAGGATAGAATTCCGCGACCCTGGGCAGGCGCTGCATAGCGGTTTCCCCGAGGAAGGTGCCCTTATAAGGGCCCTATCAAGCCACAACTTTACGTCCCAAACGCCCGCCCGCCCACAAATGGACGACCGTTCCTGACGCTCGTATTCATTCATTTGCTAAGCAAATTATGAAGCGAAGGGATTGGTATGAAGCGGCCGTGATGCTGCATGCATACATGGGTACACATATGCAGCCGTATCTTCGGTAGCGGTGATTGGTAAGATGCCTACGGGAAACTCGTCCGAAATCGATTTTCAAGTCACTGAGAACGGAGGCTTTTTCTTCGCAGGATTTTGACCGTTTCACTCCGTTCTTTCGCCATTTCCCCACTATACAGCGCCCTACTAGCATTTTAGGCTAAGTAGGAAACCATCGTGCCAACTGCCTTCAAGCTGCACGAAAAGCGGTTTAAAGGGCGCCCCAATGGGCTTTGCCCAGACACGCTAGTAGACACGTACTTGCGGATAGCTCGCACCCATCTCGACAAAATAGGAATAGCGGACCCCACTAGAGAGCAGTAAAAGCGTTGCAGAAATAGAAGAACACAAGCACTGTAAGCAGTCCAACCCCCCGTATGGAGGTAAGGTGGTAGAAAAGGCCGCTGTAGTCCGATTTTATTTAGAAGCAGGGTAACCAAAAAAGACGAATTAAAACGAGCTGAGTTAATAAAAATGAAAGCATACCCCGGATTGAAGTGTGAGCATACGAAGTACAAAGACGCCGTCACTTTTCAAATAGTTGTCGATAAATCGCCTGACGTCAGGTTCATCTTCTGGAATTAGTGCTGTTCAAAACTAATTTCTCATAAATCATTGAATATTGTTTTGAAAGACTGACCAACTGGATCGATATGGGCAATTTCGCGCTGATTCCAAGATGCTTTGATGAACCGACGATTTTGGATAAGGTAATTATAGGCAATCGAACAAGCAGTACCAAGACGAAACGGCAAAGTGAATATAGCCAGCATCAAGTACCTTAAGAAAAAAGGTTTCTGTGACGTATAATATAGGGTGGGCATAACAAAAGTATGTGGCCTCAAAATTTTGATTTTGCGAAGTTGCCTTTGGATTTTGCGATCTGAGACCATCACTGTTAGATTCCTCATAAGCGAAAGTATAGGAATGCACTACTTCTGAATACATTGTGAACTACTGTACAATGTATTCAGAAGTAGTGCATTCCTATACTTCGCCTCCCCCTTCCGGACAACTCGCTGTAGGTTGCTGCTCCTTCTATGGTGACTGTTGCGGTTTGTGCGTGTGTAAGACCTTAATTGCTTGTGTAATTCAGTGACCTGAAGAAGGGCTTAGGCCCGAAACGTCGTCAATAAATATTTTGGAAGAAAAGGACTCCTCACTTCTTATACATGATACAATTATTTATTGTTTTGAAAAAATTTCTTAATAACAAAAGTATGTGGACACCTGAGAAAGTTCAAAGTTTGGCTCCAAATCTGCAACCCATATCTATCGTCTCTGCTCCCCATTAACCTGTACTCATGCCTCGTCGTGGCAGTACTCTCTCCGAAGACGAACAATCTCAGATTCGAGCTCTCAGTGCTGCTGGACACTCAAATAGAGAAATTGCAAGACAGCTCGGACGTTCGGCGACGTGCGTTGGTAAATACCTCCAGAATCCTGATGGCTACCATTCAGCACATATTTCGGGGCGTCCTCGATCTTTGTCCGCAAAAGACATCAGAAGAAATAGCGCGGGTCGCCTCAAACTCCCAGCTCTCTCTCTGTGAGACAAATCCATGGCTGCTATATTAATCTACGCGTCTCAAAATGAACGATATGGCGCTATATCGAATCCAAATGAGCATATCGACAACGAGAGACCCATGAGAAAGCTCTCGATTGAACTGCCCAACAACCACTGCGAGACTGACTTCGCGCGTGCAAACTGGCGACGCGTGGACGAAAGGTGAAGTTTTTTGAGAATTTGTAAAATTAGAAAGACAACATCTCATGCGCTTTTCTTTCTTAGGTTACCTTCACCGATGACAAAAAGTTTAATCTCGACGGTCCAGATGGATATCGGCACTAATGTAGAGAACGGTTCGTCGGATGTTGGTGTTCTGCGACAGAGGCGACATTTCGGGAGGCGGCTCTTTGATGTGTGGGGTGTTTTTGGAATCAGCGGAAAGTTGGAGCTCGCCTTCCCATCGTGCCGTATGAACAGTCAGGAATATCAAGGAGTGCTCGAATCCAACCTCTTGCCTTTTCTGAGTGGGCCACGACGCAGGACACATGTGCTGCAGCAGGACAACGCCGCCGTGCATGTTTCAAATCTCTACTATATGGCTCCAACGCAATGGTATCCGAATTGTGAGGGTTGCGGCCGCATTCTTTCCCTGACTGCAACCCAAATCGAAAACCTGTGGGGAATTATGGTTCGACGAATTTACATGAACAATCGGCAGTACAACAGCGTGCGAGACCTCAAGGAGGCGGTAGTGGCTGCATGGGAGGAAATCGACGAAGACACTATCACAAATCTTGTCCACAGCATGCCAGACAGAATGTTCGAAGTAACAGTGAACGCGGGAGGGAGCACCAAGTTTTAATTTCCATGATACTTTTGTTTTTTGTTAAGTGTCCACATACTTTTGTTATTAAGAAATTTTTTCAAAACAATAAATCATTGCTCAATAGTTCACAATGTGCTCAGAGGTAGTGCATTCCTATACTTTCGTTTATGAGGAATTTAACAGTGATGGTCTCAGATCGCAATATCCAAAGGCAATTTCGCAAAATCAAAATTCCAAATAATTTCATCAATTTGGTGTCCACTACTTTTCTGTGTACGCCACTGTAGTTTGAATAGCTTCTGTGATTGAAACGCTCGCAAATACGGACAAAGATTACAAGTACGATAGGGTCGCACTACAGACTAGTTCGATGCGGAAGATGAGGCGTGTCGGGAGAAAGTTTTGCGCGGCGCTAGCCCGTTCTAGTTTTAGTCCTACTGTTGATTAGGGCAGACGAGCACTGGTGGAAAAAGCGCTCGCGCTTGGATCAGAATCCAAGGTAGCGATTGCATGGCGTGTCTTTAAGGCTCTCTGTGAGCCATCGCTGCATTCGAGCTAGCTCTATTTTTCGGGAGCAGCTTCAACTACTACCGCTTTCAAACTGTACAATTCCACTTACCAAAACCACAAGAAAATGAATATCTTCTCATTGAAGATATTTATAATGAGCACACATTGTACTGTGTGCTCTTGCACGTTTCCCATCACACGAACCTAAAACATTAAGGTAAATGTTCTGTAAGACCTGAACGTTGAAAAGCTGCATAAATGACTCACATCAAAATCGCAAAGCGACACTCGAGGAAACATTCCGCTCTGTTCCCACGTAGTCCCATTTAATAAATCAATCATCGCTCCCAATCCATACCAGGCGTACTTGTCGGTTTCCAGAAACCTGACAAATTCCTATTAAAAAGGGAAACACTAAAATTTATCCGTATCGATAAATAGTTGATAAAATCAAACAATTTGGATAGTTATCACGAGAATGATGAGATATGGGCAAAAGTTGGACTAGGAATGGGACTCGAACCTGCATCCCTCGCTTACCGGGCGGTTGCGTCATCCATTACGCTCCGGGGCCGCTTTAACCCTCTCAGGTGATATCGGCTAACCGGCTCATCACGTTAGACGTGTGAGTGGTGGAAGGCAATGACACAAACAGCCACTGATTCAGGAGATTCACATTGTGGCGCCGCGCAGATACCAAATAACCACGCGCAGCAGCACGGTGACTCGCTTTTGCGGCTACTCGTAACGCACGATTGCACCCGTGGCGCTTTAGCAGTGCGATTCAAGGACACCGTTGATGCTGCCATTGAAAACCTATTCCTTAGAAATGGGTAGCGACTTATGCAGCACTTCACCATGAAGTCACATTCCACGTAGAGTGTATGGGCGGAGCCTAACCTTCGGACACCGAGCAGCGCGCCATTTTATACACTACTCCATTATAAAGGCACATTCCACGCTGAGCGTACGGACGGAATCAGACAAGCAATGAACCTTCCTTATTAGCGCGCACCTCCTCTCTTCTCTGTTAGAGTGGAGAGACATGCCATGTAGAAGACACTATGGGTGGCCTGACTCCGCCCACATGGTTAGCGTGGACTGCCGCCCAATCTTAGGCGAACCTACTCATGGTTACATTCTTGTTTCAAAGTTGCTAGAGATCTTACTTTTGATTCAATAAATAGTTGATCAGAATTAGAAGAAAATACCAGAAACTTACTTGTTCATGAGTAGCAACTGCAAGCATACATTTGCCAGATAGAAGAATTTCGTGCACAAATACAACCATGTGACAAAAAAGGCTGAATATGGTAGATTAAATAGCCATAGAATATGATGCGGACGGATTTGCTTCTTTTGTAGCCGACGATGAAAGCGTAAGGCTCCCTAAACGGCAATATTTCAAATAGTTTTTCTGTATTTTTCTTTTTTCTATATTTTCACAGAACAACAGAAGACATGCATAAGGACAACATTCCCTGACAATCAATTTCCCAAGGAACGAGCTAAACCAGACTTTTTTCATATGAAAGCGGAGAAACATTTGAATGGAACTGTGGTCCGAGTAGAAGCCGAATAGTTGACCAGTGAAATCATAAATATTATAATAAATACCTTTAGTAGCAGCAACTCGACCCCTAAGGATAGCAACTTTTCTTTTCAGGCGGAGGTCCATGTAATATTTGACCCCGGAAAGCGGGATTGCGAGTGACAGCACTAGCATCAGCAATACTACGCCCTCTGACAGGACAAACAAGAAAGCGGAGATCGGCGACCGGGGGAGGGGGGGGGGGGGAGTCGTGGTGAGGACGAATGTCGCCGAACGGCGCCCAGAAAAATTAAAGGCACATTTCACGTTGTCGGACAGGCATGCCGTGTTCACCTGCTGTTTTCATTAACACGTCTCTCCTTTGAGCAGTCTTAGAAATAGACGGGCACCAATGAGAAAGGCAATATGATGGACTATTCCCGCCCACATGATCAGCCCGGTCTGGTTTCTTGGATCAAACTGGAAGTTTTAAAGCACATTGGATATCTACAGTGGCAAAAGTATGCGCCAGTTCAGATAGAAGTCGATTTACGTGGACCACTGCATACGGCAAACTCATCGTTAGCTGAATCTGACCATGAGATTTTTCAATGTAAAACGGATGCGTGACACATCCGAAAAGGTTGATCAGCTCCGACCACATCATCCCCATTTTTTCATTACTAGTTCCCTACCCTTTCTCAAAAATGGGACTACAAACCTGAAGATGGATCGTGAGCGATCTTATATTTGCTCGTTTGATGTCAGGTTTGATATTGTTCGGATCAGACGACAGCTTAACGACTTCATGGATTTTTATACCTGAAAATATTTATCGAATCCAGTGTCTTCTACGAATCAATATTGTGGGTGTTATAGGGATTACAGTAACAATAAATAAACGGGAAGTCTTAGATTTCTCTGGGTTCCACCTGAGAAGCAAATAAAACCGGATTGAGGTAGAAATGAATCAATGGATAAATCGTACCCGAATGGCAAGCCAGATATTGCCATAGAATACTGGGAAGTCGAAAGCAGGCAGCTTCAGCAAGAAGAAAAAATGGCACCCACTGAAAAATCATTGAATTGAGAGGATCAACCTTTTGCGAGGCCACTGACGGCCACACCCATAATCACCTGATAGTAACTTATTTGCCGTTTACGGCGGTCATCGTCAAGCATACCAGCGACGGCTTCACTCATCGGCACGTAATAGGTGTCTTGTGCCCAGCAGTAGTTCTCAGCATACTGTAAAACTATTAAGGATTTACGGTTCAACATGAGAAGAACTTAATTTCAAACCTGTTCCCAGGAACTGCTGAATATATCGGGAACTAAGCATTCTATCGGTTTCCCTCCGAACTGCTGAAACCATAGTCATGTTATACAACTGATTAACCAAACTAGAGTAATAGGAAATGGGAAGAAAAGTTGGTCATAGGCTCAAGGGAGACAAACGACAAGCTTCTCGGCACAGATCAATTCCTTTTCGGGCTGTGTCACACATACAGTCTTGCTCGCTGTGGATGAAGGGGCGTGTCAGGCGTGGAGTTTGGCGCGGCGCCAAACCCATTTTCCCCAGTTTTTGGAATGAGCAAGGACAAGACTGTACCGTATCCCAGCTGTTGTCGCCCAATCGCTTCGACGACGGTAGTCGAGCAGTGGGGCATGTCCGGCAGAATAGGTTAGGCGCCGCGGCAAACCTATTCCGTCGGTAATGCCCTTCATGCACCGTGACCCACACTACCACACTCCCATTCAGCATTTTGAGTGGAATTTGGCCTACATGACGGAAGTGGCATGTTGGCAAGAGGCACACTAGCCACGCGGGCGGTCCGAGGATCAAAGCCTGGATCGGCTGCCATCAAGGCCAATTAGCCTTCTACACTCCCGGGACGGTGCGTCGGAACCGATCCATCTGGAGGCATGGAAACAGTGACCTGTACATTGGAAAGTCATTGCATAGGCCATATCGCTTTCAATAACCACTATGACTCTGAAAAGAAGTAAAGTGCGTGCCGCATCCCAAAAAGCATTGATCAACTGCGAAGGTCTTTAC